CGTCATACCCCTCCCCCTGTGACGTCATACCCCCTCCCCTTCGTGTGACGTCACCCCTCCCCCTCTGACGTCATACCCCGCGCCCCCCTCGGAGCTCCTGAGTTAGAACCGGCCTAGTTACACTACTGACAGCTCTCCGTAGCAATTCTTCTTCAACAAACTCGCGAGTCGCGCGGCAACAAACAGTCGCGCCGAGCGCGCGCCGTTCACGCGGCTCCCGCGACACATACGCGGTGACCGCCGCGTAACATTGCCCTTCTTCTCTTTCAAATCGTCGTCCTGACGATTAAAGGAGGTCCGGTCTTCCCGCTCATTCCTGGACTGCTGCTGTAGGATCTCAAGCTGACCGGTCAAAGAAATTTCTCTTGAGAAATTCTCTTCTTCAGGGCTCCGACAATCTCGCAACTTTCTGATTTTCGGACAGGGGGGGGGACTTGCGTAAACTCACCGCCCAAAAATGGGTACCCTGAGTCCCCGCCTCGGCATTTGCCCAACGGTCCACGGGAAACCACGCGTCGAAAACCGTGAACGAAGCGGTCTTCCCTAATACAATAAAGCTACACGTGATGTAACGGCACGGAGTGACACGTCGTCGCCACCTTTTGACGCCCTCGATAATACAAGAAAAGGAAGGGAAGGAATAGATTCTGAAAAAAGAAACAAACAAAACAACGAGTATCTAAAAACAAAACGATTTCTTTTAAATTAATACAAAATATTCCTTAGTCTAATCCAACAACTTCCTTTCTCCTTAACTTTCCAGATATGGCTCCGACGTATGCTCTAACCTTTCACAAAAAGAAGCTAACCTGTCCGCGTGCACTACTTTGTTTCTGTGTCTGGGCGAGCGACGGATGCAGTATACAACATCACTCAGTTTCCTCACTTCAAAAGGACCTTCCCAACTCTTTTGCAATTTCGGACCCTTCTCCTTATCTCGACATGGATTAAAAAACCATACTTTCTGACCCACCTCAAAAAGAATATGTCTATCCTTTCGATCATTCCGCATTTTTACCCTATCAGACCTTAATTCCAAACGTTTTCTAACATCCCGGTAAACCTCATCAAGCTTTTCACGCAGTACCTGGGCGTAACTTTCCGATGCTTCCGAATAATAATTCGGGGGCGTTCCTCGAAGCAAATCCAGAGGAAGACGGAGCTCCCGCCCGAAACATAACTCCGCAAGAGTCACTCCCGTCGCCTCATGCCTGGAAGACCTATAAGCCAAAAGGAACATGGGAATCCAACGATCCCAATCCCTCTGACTTTCCTCCACGAATTTAGACAAATATTGAGCAATCGTCTGATACTGCTTCTCCATCTGTCCATCAGACTGCGGATGGAGAGCAGTTGTCCTCGTTTTCTTACTCCCCAAAATCCATGCTAACTCCAAAAAGAGACGAGATTCAAAATTTTTCCCCTAATCTGTGTGCAGTTCTAATGGAACCCCATATCTCGAAATTACTTAATTGACAAACACCTCCGCCATGGTTGTGGCTTGGAAGTTCTTCAAAAGAAATGCCTCCACCCACTTAGTAAAACAATCCACTATCACCAAAAGATACTTGTTTTCCGCAGACGACATCGGAAAAGGCCCAAGAATATCCATTTGCAATCTCTCAAAGGGGGCCTCAGAGTTATACACCTGCAACGGCGACTTTCCTTTATCTGAAGGACCCTTTTTGGCTACACACACCTTACAGAATTTACATCAGTTTTCTACATCCCTTTTGCAAGTCGCCCAATAGAATCGCTTCCGTATCTTTCCCAACGTCTTGTTGATACCAAAATGCCCTCTCGTTGGAGCATCATGCGCCTCCTCTAAAATTTGTTTCGACAGCTCCCGAGGAACAATAACCTGAAGGAAGCTAGTTTTCAAATTCAGCGCTTCCCACCTTTTATGAAGAATGCCATCCCGTACAACCAAGGCATCCCAATAAGACCAGTAAACCCTTGAAGAAGGCCTCTTCGCCGAAACTTTCTCCCACAAAAGACAATTACCTGCTTCTTTCCCCTGCAAAATTAAAGAAATCTCCAGATTCCCTACGCCACTCCACCATTCCGTCCCCCACAAGAACTATCCGCACTATACACTTTTCCCTTTCCATTGCCTCCTTTTCTTCCACTCTCACGCAGTACTTGCTCCCAAACTCCACACAAGGCCGTCTGGACAAACCGTCCGCATTTTTGTGCAACTTTCCACTGCGATGCTGAATGTCCAAATTATATTGTTGAAGTTTCTCTGCCCACCGGGCCAACTGCCCTTCTAAATCCCTAAAAGACATCAGCCACCTCAATAAAGCGTGATTAGTTCGAACCAAAAACTTCCGTCCGTAGAGATAGCCGTGGAAAGACTTCACCGAGTCAACAACTGCTAAAAGTTCCCTTCTAGTTACACAATAATTTCTCTCAGTCTTACTAAAAATTCGGCTATAATACGCCAAGACCTTCTCAGTTCCCTGCTGTACTTGTGAAAGGACCGCATCAATCCCATGCCCAGACGCATCAGTATCCAGTATTAACTGCCCTCTCTCCGACGGAAACGAAAGCACCGGAGGAGAAGTTAACATTTGCTTCAAACGCAAGAACGCTTCTTGACATCGCTCAGACCAAACAAAATTTGTATTATTTTCCGTTAAAATGTACAACGGCTTTGCTATCAAAGATAACCCTCTCACAAATTTTTGATAATACGAGCAAAACCCTAAAAAACTGCGAACCTGCTTTCTATTCTGTGGAACTGGCCACTCTGAAACAACTTTAATCTTTCTCAGATCCGTAGAAATCCCCTCGGCCGAAATCACATGTTCTAAATACTTAACTTGCTTCCCAAGAAGAGTACACTTCTTTGGTTTTAACTTCAAATTTCTCTCCCTGAATCTCTGAAACACCTTCCTAAGATTGGCTACCATCTCTTCAAAGGATTTCCCAAAAACAATAATGTCATCTAAATAAACTAAACAAATCTTGGACAGCAACTGCCGTAAGACCCTCTCCATCAACCGTTCAAAGGTGGCCGGAGCATTGCACAATCCAAAAGGCATTACTGTGAATTGCCACAATCCGTTCCCTACCGAGAAGGCAGTCTTTTCCCTATCCTCTTTGCGAATCTTTACCTGCCAATAACCACTCTTCATGTTTAAGGTGGAAAACCACGTATTGTCTGACAGCTGGCCCAAGAGATCATCAACCCTGAGTAGAGGATAAGAATCTTTCACCGTGACCGCGTTTAAGTTACAGTAGTCTACGCAGAATCTCAAGGACCCATCTTTCTTCTTTACCATTACTGCTGGAGAAACCCACGGGCCGGAAGATTCCTCAATGACTCCCTGTTCTCTCATTTCATGAAGAATCTGTTCTATCTCCGAGCGCATGCCCAACGGCACCCTCCTCGGGGCTTGCTTAATTGGACGAGGATCCTGTAGACTAATCTTATGTTGCAGGACCTCACAATTACCGGCCACAATCTGGTCGGTGAAGATGTCCTGAAATTTGTTTAAGAAATCAGCAAAAACACCCTTCTGCGCCTCATCAAGGCCGACGGAGTCAAAGAGCTCCTTCAAGCTCGACGGAACAATTTCGACTTCCTCAGTCACTTGACAACAAACTTTCTTTGACTCACGTGAAGAAAAACGAAAACTGAGCAACATCTTCCGAGTCTTTTCTATTCCCACTTTACTGAAAAAGTCCACCCCTAAAATACAATCCTCAAACATATCCGCTACATAAAAAGGCATGCTAAGAGAAATCTCTTCTACCGCTATACAAGCCTCACACTTGGAATTAATCGGAACATTTTCCTCCGTCGGATATCTTAACTTTTGTCTTCTTGACAACTTCCAACACCCAGACCTCTCCACTAACTTCGAATTTACAATAGACACGTCGGAGCCCGTATCAAGTTTGAAACGGCAAAATCTGCCATTCAGCTTTCCTTTCAATAAAAATAAATCTTTTTTTCCCCCCGAGCCTTTGAGCAACACGCTTCACATCCGGGGCGTTTCTTCTCCTAGCCGAGCCCATTCTGGCGAGGTCGACTAATCTCTGTTTTCCCGGGAAGAATTTGCCGGACACTCATACCAAAAGTGCCCTTTTTCCCGCACTTCCAGCATTCCCTCTCCCTGCTGTCCCTTTTGGAAACAACCTTCCCCCTCTCTTCACGCTTAGCCTCCACTTACCTCCTTTTCCAACTATAAGAGAGAGAACGCTTGATATCTTTCCTGTTATGCCCCTAATCACTACCTCCTTCAGAACTACCCTTCTGAATAATTTTCACCGCCCTTGCTTGCTCGATTGAGACTCTTAGCGAAGACACGTTTTCTAATTGAAGAGTCCGCTTCACAAATCTGTCAGAAAGCGCGACAATGAATTACGCACAAGCAATTTTGTCCCGGACTTCGTAGGAGCACTCCGAGTAGACTAGACGGGCCAGTCGTTCCAAATCTGCCCCAAGCGCAGCAAAATCTTCCCCGCTCTTTTGTTTCCGGTTCGTAAACTGCGTGTAATAATTTTGGAACAAACCTCGCTTGCCATAACGCAACTCCAATTTCGAGCAAATTTCCCCAAAACTGAAGCTTTCCTCTAACTCCCTTCTAAAATCGAACGTGCTTCCTCTCTCAGACTGGTGGCAAGAACCGTGGCCTTCGCCACGTCGCTCCATCCGTTCGAGCGAGCAACCAATTCGAACTGCGCGAGGAACTCGCGCCACGGGACGCTCCCATCGAATACGTCTGACTTAATTTTCACCCTCGATAGTTCGCCCGCCAGACCGGAAAACAAATTTGTTAATGACTCGCCTGAGAAATTTTTTCGCAGCCGCTCTTCCAGCTGGCGTGTCTCCACCTCTCGCTGTCGCATATACTCGCTGAACTCCGCTTCTTGGCAATAAAACAACTCTCTCTCCCGCTGCCATTCCTCTCGCAGTTCGCGAATCTCCTTGAGAGCGGATTGTAAAACCACGGACTCCGTCGCCGCCTCTCCACGTCCGCTTTTTGTTCCAACAGACGCAACGCCTTCCACATTGATGTCCATTGCACCCCCTCGCTTCGAGGCAGTTACAGCGCGCCTCTCCATCTCGGAAATTTGCTTTGAAGACTTTCTTTCGTGTCTCTTCGCCGTTCGTTCACTATTCCGGACGAGCCCCCAAAATGTTGCGCCCGCGGAGGCGAGACGGCACTATCGCCGGCCACTGAGATTCACGCGCGCGTTCGCGACGAAGAAGAAACGCGGTCTATCTCTCAAAACACTTTATTAACACTCAGAATACAAATGATATCAGAATACAAATTATATCAGGACAAATCGTCGAAGCGTGACGTGACAGCTCTCCGTAGCAATTCTTCTTCAACAAACTCGCGAGTCGCGCGGCAACAAACAGTCGCGCCGAGCACGCGCCGTTCACGCGACACATACGCGGTGACCGCCGCGTAACAATATCTAATCAAATAAAATATAATTAAATTTAATATAACTATATGATATTACTTTATCTTTACATAGAATTCATTCAAGCAATTTTGTGATTCTGTTTAAAATAAATTTATATATTTCAAATAAAAATGCGCTCAAAACATTCACTTTCTTATTCTCAAGATAAGCATTATTGATTTATTTAATAGTAAGTATAAACCAAAAAAACATACAACTTATGTATTTGATTAAATATCTAATCAAACAAAATATAATTTGCACAAGATTCAAGTAAAAACACAATTAAAACAATCACATTTATAGTTAATTCATATGATTATAATGTAATCTAATACTAAACTTAGAAGCATTCTTATAATGTGTTTAACACAATATTATGTTACTACTTTAAAATATATATTTTGTTCTTTTAATATACATACTTAAAAATAAAATCAATTCCACATGCAATTGAATGAACTATTTATTTTTGTGGCAGCCCGTGACGTAGACGTTTAATTGAAACAATTCCATTTTTTTAAATTCAACAGCATTTTTTCCGTGTAGTGTTGTAGTCTTGCGTGCGAACAATCCACATAAATGCACAAACAAATCTGCTTGGCGTTTACTGGCAATCTGTCGTCAATGCATTCAACATATCGATCCTATTGCAGTCCAGAGATGCCAGTTCACGGACTCTTGCAGCATGCAGCAGCAAGTGGAGGGGATACGCACACAAGCAAACAGCCGTGTACAGTGCGGAGCACCATATCGTGCGCGGTGAGGAGAAGTAGTTCCCCTCCGGCTGCCTCCTACTAGCACGGGCCAGCGGCCCGAGATTTAATCCATATGTACCGGCACGGTTACCGATGATACATACCGACTCCGCGTCGGGGGTACCAATAATACCGACAGCCATATGTTACCATAAAATTATCGCGAAAAAAGTAACATACATTGAAAAAAGTAACTGCATTGAAAGTGACTTTAATAATTTATATTATATTTATTTATTTAATTATTAGCTTTTACGTGATATAAGAAACTNGGGGTCGGTATGTATCATCGGTAACCGTGCCGGTACATATGGATTAAATCTCGGGCCGCTGGCCCGTGCTAGTAGGAGGCAGCCGGAGGGGAACTACTTCTCCTCACCGCGCACGATATGGTGCTCCGCACTGTACGTGTGCGCTCGGAGCTTCGGCCAACTTCGAGCAGTAGAAGGAGAGGGACATACATAGTCGTTCTCTTTCTTTCGTTATAGCTATAGATATAGTTAACATTGCCGGTCGCCGATCCGCGAGAAGCGTGCCTAGCCTGTTTTTCGTGCGTGGCTCATATGTTCCTTCTCTCTTCCTCTTTCTCTCTTTCTCTCTCATACTTAAATGAATATTACTAAGGCTGCGTTCTTATATTCACTGCCAATACTGGAAATATATAGCACAAGTGAAGTAAAGTATAGATTTTTAATACTGGCAGTAAATATCGAAATGCAGCCAAAATAAATCTGAAAATTTAATGGATACATATTTATATTGATACTACCAAATTAATAGATCAAATATATTGAAAATCAAATGTAATAATTAACAAAAAGCAACTATTTGTATAATAAATATTATATAAGCAAGAAGTATTATTTTAAAATTTCTATCTTTTAATTATTTTACATTACAAACTATCAAATATTAACCCATTTGCATCACAAAGAAAAGTCAAAAATTCGTTCTTATCACCAAAATTTTTTTTTACTGTATTTAAATTTTAATGAAAATGTTACAAAATATGAAAAATAAAATCAATATTGCATAAATAAAGAATTTTTACTTCATTATAGATTCACAAAAATAAACGGAATGGAATCTAATTATTTTGCACAATGTGATAATATTTTAAGTGATCAAGGCAATATGCGCTTTGGTGATAAATGCCTAAGTAAAATGCGCGCATATATGCGCTCTGGTGATAGTGGCCAGGCAAAATGCGCACATATATATGCGCTTATGATGCAAATGAGTTAAGAATATAAAATAAACACAAAACCCATAAAATGTGATTATTTTCTTAACATTTATTAAAACTTATTACAACAAAAAATTTATCTCGTAAAAAGCACTTTGGCAACAAACACTGCGCTTTTATACATAAAGAAAAATAATATAAATAATAATATAAATAAAAAGATAAATAACAATATAAACAACAGTATAAATAACAATATAAATGTATAAAGATTACATAAGAAACCGTATAAAAAAACCATATAAAATTAACAAATATATCGTATGTGTATAATAAATAACAAATATATATATATATATATATATATAT